ACCCCTCCATTACGCGGCAGCCCTCCATTTTGTCTCCCTTCCCATCGGCTCTGCTCGTGCGCACCAGCCGGTGTAATCCAAGGAGACCCTCTGCTCCCCACAGCTCGCAAAAACACCCGTGTACTTGAGCGTCACCTCTCCCGGGAGAGCTGCCACCGCCACCATCAACCTAAAACTCTGAATGGTTGGGGTGCATCCCAGAAAACTCACCCCACACCCGCTGCTTACAGTGTGTTGAAGCCTGGCAGGTGCCAGCTCCTTTTCCCTGCCTGCCACCCTCCCGTGTCCCCACTCTGCCATCCCACGTGGGTGTGGGCTCGCTCCGGCCGGGTCCATCCGTGTGCCTGGGCACAGCGGGGCCACCCTGCAGGGACTGTCCCTAGCTCAGGGGCGAGGGACTCTCCCAGCCCGGTGATGGCAAGCTTGCTCTGACCTCATGCTAGTTTGTGGTGCATGCTGGTGACCCTAATTACCGTATATGTGCCAATTAGCAAGCGTCCCTGCCTAGGGAATGACCTCCCAGTTGCTCTCACCGGCCACCCCAGGGCTGGCTGGGGGTAACAATACCCCTGGGGCAGTCAGGACACTTGTCAGGGTCGGTTGCTGTCCTAACCATGCCTTGTCGGGCTCGGTGAACGTTGCCGGGGAAGGCAATAACCCCGCTGAGCGGAGCAGGAGGGTTGGGGTGCTGCCTGCGATGCAGCAGCTCTCCCGGAGCTGCTCCCCCAAGTCACGCCCCCGGTGTGCAGGGCAGGTTGGGGTTCGGTGCTTGCCCTGGTAGCTGCGGGTCTCGTTGCTCACAGACTGTAACTCCTGCTCTCCTGCCGGGAACGGGGCCGTCGCTGGCTTTTCCTGCCCACAGGAAGGCCAGGGCCAGTCTTCAGCTCCCTCCTTGGCCTGGGCCAGACCCAGACAGCCGCGTCCCTCCTTCGACTCACGGTTCCTTTTCTCTCTCCCCGTGTCCCCTGCTAACAGCTTACCCCGGACGCACCCTGGGCTCCTCCGCCACAGGTTGGTATCGCTGCCTGCTACCTGCATGCTGCCAGCGCTGCCTAAGCTCTTCGCTGGCCTCCGGCTTTCCTATTCACCTGCCCCGACAGAGCCGCACTTCCCGGGCACCGAGCAGACCCCGGTACTCGGCATCCCACGGCACCCACTGGGGCCGATGTCCCCAGCCCTTCCAGAGCTCGGCACGTGTGTCCCCGCACTTTGTCCCAGGCCTGACTCCGTGCATCCCGACAGCCCCCTCCTTCCTGCAATCCCCACCTCGCCCAGGCTTTGACACCTTTCCCTCCCGGGTTAAGACTCAAGAGGTTGCGTATTCCTCCAGCCGTGGTTCAAAGGCATTTGTGGTGGACCTGCGGGTTGATCTCTCAGCCACCACATGAACTGGAGGACCCCAGCAGATAGCCCATCCTATGGAGGAGAGCGCTTCCCACCCTTCACCCTCCTACGTGCAGAAACGTTCCCGAATGTCCACCCTTGATCCCCCCTCGGCTGCAGTTTAAGCCGATGAGCCCACGGCAGCTGTCCCAGTAATCCCGTTCCCGGCTGCTTCAGCAGCCTCGGGAGCCAGAGCTGGCTCCTCTCCCGCTCGGGGTGTGCTGCCAGATCCCCCCTGGAGAAGCAGGAGGTGGGAGACGGGCCAAGAAATGCCAGCCAACACCCAGCCCTTCCCCTGGGTCTGGTGCTGGGCCACAGGGACAATGTCCCTGCTGTGCCACGAGGCAGGGAAATCCTATCTTCTGGCCTTCGTGTCCTACCCCACGGCCCCCGCTGCCAGACCCTGCCGAAACGGGCTCCACCGCACCCCGGCCCTGGGCACGGCAGAGCCTTGCCGGTGCCTGGAGGGCCTCTGGCTCCTCGTCGTGCCAGCCTGCCGGCAGCGGAGAGGGTTGTAGATATATATAGCGTATGTCGATAGCTGTCTTATCTGCATCTCTAGCTGCAGGCGCACACACGCGTGCTGCTTGTGTGGGCGTACGCACACGGGGAGCACGGGGCGGAGGCAGGTGCAGGCAATCTGCAGCCACGTGCGGCTGCGGGTACCACGGCCATGCGGAGACCCCGCGGCTTTTA